AAAAAAAAAAAAAAAAAGACTAATACCATTTTCATCTCGGGGCAAATCTAGTCTGGAGGGCCCAAATCATAGCTACCAAACACCAGAAAAATACAATAAAACGCAGTATTGTAGCTTTAAATTTACCATATCATGGCTAGCAAATGAGGTGTTATATGACAACAATACTATAACAATTAAAAATTTAAAATAATTATTTGATTCAACAATTGATCTGGTGACGGTTGAACCGGTGACCTCAAGCCCTACTTGAGTCGATTTTCATACCGAGTTCGAAGACTATGATTGTTTGTGTCTTGTCGTCATTTATACGAGTATTGTTGGGTTCAACTTAGTATAATTGGTAGGTCATGACGGTTATTTTACTTACGCGTTTTATCTGGTACATCACCTTTCTCATATAAGATCGAATTAGCAGACCGACCGTGACAATTGGGAATTTTATGTATATATGTTGACACTTGTCGCTCGAGGCACTCCTAGTTAGTTCGATTGTCAATAATCTAGAGCTGATAAAGCTCTACACATAAGGCCACTATCAGCACAGCACCTAATTTTTTTACCAAACGATCTATGCATAATGCCAGTAATTTTACACAGTAAAATATCCAATGAAGTAAAAAATCTGATGAAGGCACTGCATAGAATCGAATTAGCCAATTTACATGCTACAGCTGACCCGAACCCAAAAACCCTAACCTGTCCGCCAACACACGCACATCTTCTTCTTCTTCTTCTTCTTCCCTCTCATCCCGCCCAATGTCGCCGGTAATCTCCTCGCTCAACAGCTCCTCCCAAAAGCCCTCGTCAAGATCCCTCTCGTAATTTCCCCTCTCGATCTCCCCCTGCCCCCTTTTCCGGCCGATTCCCTGCATCTCTAACGCCAGTGCCTCCAGCTCCGACACCTCCCCAAAATCCACCTTCTCCGCCTTCACCGGACACTCGATCTGCCGCCGCCGCCTCTTCCCTCCCTCCTCCTCCGCTGCTTCCGCCTCCTCGATCTCCCGCCGCCGCCTCCCCTCCTTCTGCCGGACCAATTTCCTGATGAAATCGGGGTTCCGCATCGCCCGAGCCAGGAATCCCATCATATGCTGCTGCCGCCGCTCGGTGCTCTGCAGCCGCAGCTCCATCTGGTGCAGGTACGCTCGCGTGATCTGCTGCTGCTGCCGGAGCTTGACGAGCTCTGTTAGTAAAACTTGCCTGTCGCGCCTTAGGGTGTCGGCCTCCGCGTCAGATCCGAACCGCCCGAGCTCAACGCACGGGACGGTGGGCTGGCGCTGGGACGGAGAAGGAGCAGGCGACGCAGGAGAAGCAGGTGCGGGTGCTGGTGGTGTTGATTTTCTCCGCCTTATGTTTTTGAGAAGTTGCTTTTGGCCCCTGTGGAAGGACTCGTTTGCGAATTCCCATTTGTCCGGGTCGATTTTTCTGAAGCCCTGCAAAATGCCTTTCGGGTGAGGGCATTTGTTGGAATTTTCGATCACTGTGTTTCTTCCAGAAGCACCTTCGAGAAAGAGGGGGAGAGACTGTGTGTAAAAGGACTAACAGTGCAAATTCAGAGAGTATGAGGAATTTTAAGGTAATTTTGAAACTACCCTGATTTTGGTTGGATTTCAGTTGGATACCATCCGCTCATGTCCTTGAAATTACTAATAATTCATTAATTACATTCTCTAGAGCATGCACTTTTATCAACTATCAGTAAATGTAATAAATGTAGGGTGTTTGCTGCTGTAATCTTTGAGGTGTAGTATGTGATTAGTAAACCACAGGGGTCAAGTTATAATTACCCTAGATTACTTAGAAACCTTCAACTACTTTTGGGATCTTGAAGGAAAACTTAGTAAGCATATAGGAAATAAGTCCCACAAGTCGAAACTGAGGACCCTTCACACCGACCAAGTAAATTTAAAGAACCAATAGAAGAAAAAAGTTGCTACATTTCTATCTATAACTTACTCCTTTTCCAGAACTAGGTCTGTTTATGGGAGTGCGATGAATTTGTTATATTTTTTAAGCGTAGATTATCTACACATTACTAGATTACATGTATATCTACGGTTACAAAAGACAACGGAACCATCCCGTAAAGGGATGGTAGCATTTTCCCTGTTTATGTTGTTGTTGAGCTTATGGTTGGAAAAGTAATAATCACGGACGCTGAAAAAAAAAAAAAACGCAAAAAAGGAAGACAGAACACTTACATAAGTGTTTAGCTGCCGGACAAAGCTCGAGAAATTATTGTGCTTAAAGTATCTTGGCAAAACACTGGTTGAAAAACCATGAGGATCCCAGACAACAAAGCAATGTCCTCCCCTGCTCCACGAGATGACGCTATCCGTGCTAAAATCGTCCACCATTTCGAAAGTTTTAGTCAGAAATGGAGGTGGGCCCGTCTCGTGCAGCCCCTCCATCGGCCTCGGTGCTTGGTGGTCGATCGGCTGTGGCTGCCATGTGCTCGGACATGACGATGAAGATGATGACCCTCCTCCCGGGTATTCTTCTTTAACCGGAATCCTTGTTTCCATTAGCTAACTTTATGTGTGTCAAGATTGCTTTGTTAAAATGATGAAAATTGGAGAAGGGGGCTATTGAATTTCTTGAGTGGGTGGAAAGTAGATGTTTAAGAAAAGCAGAGGAGTGTGGAGTTTTTGCAGGTTGCATGAATTATTATTATTGTTCTTTTTTGCGGAAATGATTTTTTTTTTTTTTTTTTAATTTTAAGAAAAAATGAGGGCTTGGGCTATATTTAGAAGTTCTTGTGGGATTTTATTTCTGGTTTGGGAAAGTAGTTTTTTGCAGTTGGGGAATGTGAACAGAGTGGAAAAGTTGGGATCCAAACGGTGCTTTATAGTGGCAATTTGGTATTTAATTTATTCTCGTTTTGCACTGGGTGAGGGAAGATATTTATCATGGAAAGTTCTGGAGTTCTAGAAACTTGGGTGGTGGCACCTTCTAATTTGTAATATTTTATTTTGTTTTTTTTTTAGTAATATTTTTTTTGTAGTTAGTGTTGTTTCCTAAATTTCCTTTTGGATATGGTTTTCCAGG